CCCCCCCAGTCGGAAACTCCAGTCCAGCTCAACGATGACGGCCGGATGTGCCGTTTTATCCGTTTATTTCGCGCTTGATACCTCGCTCACAGGTCCGGCCGATCTCCAAAGGGCCCCAGCCGAGCTCTCTGCACCCCTTCGGAGACCGTCTCGGCGTGGGTGTGCCTGAGGTTAGGCCTGGAAGCACCACGCCCCTCTGCCCCGCACAAAAATGGCGGGGCAGGCGTCAGCGAAGGCTGTTCCACGTCCAGCGGGGCTGCGTACACTGCGCAGGCGCACTTCGGCTTGTCCGGCAGCGGCTGCGGGGGCGGCGGCACTGGCGGCGGCGCGGGGCATGGTCCCCGGGTCCGAGGGCCCGGCCCGGGCCGGGGGCCTGGTGGCGGACGTGGTGTTCGTGATCGAGGGGACCGCCAACTTGGGGCCGTACTTCGAGGGACTCCGCAAGGATTACCTGCTCCCCGCTATCGAGTGAGTGTCTGCCCGTGTCGCCGCCCGCGCCCTAGGTCCCCACGGCCCGGGCCGACGCCGCCTTTCCTCCGTTCTTGCAGGTACTTCAACGGCGGGCCGCCCGCCGAGACCGACTTCGGGGGAGACGTGAGTGTGCGGCCGGGGTCGGGGGGCGGTGGGGAGGCCGGGGTCTAGGGGTGGAGGCTAGGACGACCTCGGGGTCGGGGGGCGGAGGCTAGGAGGACCTCGGGGTCTGGGGGTGGAGGATGGGGGACCTCGGGGTCTCGGGGAGTAGGCTAGCGGGACCTCGGGGTCTGGGGGTGGAGGATGGGGGACCTCGGGGTCTCGGGGAGGAGGCTAGGGGGACCTCGGGGTTTGGGGGAGGAAGCTAGGAGGACTTCGGGCTTTGGGGGAGGAGGGTAGTAGGACCTCGGGGTCTGGGGCAGGAGGGTAGCAGGACCTCGGGGTTTGGGGGAGGAGGCCAGGGTCTGGGAGAGGCCAGGAGGACCTCGGGGACTGGGGGAGGAAGCCAGCAGGACCTCGGGGTCTGAGGGAGGAGGTTAAGAGCACCCCAGGAGGACCCAGGTGTCTGGGGGAGGAGATTGGAGTCAGCACACCTGGGTCTGAGGGAGGAGGGCTGGGGTCTGTGCACCTGGGTCTGGGGGAGGAGGGATTGGGCATTTCCTGAAATCATCAGAAGCTGAGGGGCCCACTTCCTTGGGCAGAAGCCTCATCTTTAAAAGTAGTTCTTCCCTGCCCTGCCCTCCCAGTATGGTGGAACCCAGTACAGCCTCGTGGTGTTCAACACAGTGGACTGCGCTCCGGAGTCCTACGTGCAGTGTCACGCTCCCACCAGCAGTGCCTATGAGTTTGTCACCTGGCTTGATGGCATCAAGTGAGCGTCTCCTCCACTTTGGGCAGGTTGGGGACCCTAGGAAGGACTGTGGGAGCTGTGGCCTGGGCTTGACCTGCAGGAGCTTTTCCTACTGAGAGCCCAGGTGACTGTGAGCTCGTCTGTGCTCAGCAGAGTCTGCCCGGTTGAGCTCTGCGTGGGCTGCCCCTCCTATCCCTCTTTCTTCCTCATCCACTCAAGTGGAGTCCTCCAGATTGGGCTGGGCCAGTAGAGTCCTCTCTGTGCCTTGGTTGTGCTTGCTATGTAGCTGAACCTAACCTTTATCTCCTGTCCTCCTACGTGCACTCTGGAGTACTGGGAATACAAGTGTGTGCCACCATGCGGCTTGGGCTGAATTTGGTAGTTGACCTTGCACACTTGAGGCCAAGCAGCCTGGGGTGGAGTCATGGTTCCTGACAGCCCTCTGACCTCGGATCCCCAGGCTGCTTTGTGCCTCCTGTCCTTCCTTTCTGAAGTAGGGGTGTCTGTAGCGCCTGGGTCAGTCCTTCGTCATGTTGGGTGTCCCTTGCTGTATAACTGGTTTCCCAACTTCAGACTGGACAGTTGTGACCTTGTGCAGCTCTGTGAGTCAGGAACTTAGGACGGAGAGCTGGATTGTGTGGTTGGTCGGGTCTCTTAGGACTGCAGTCATCCGTGGCCTGGCTGGCCTGTAAGATCCACGTCCAGGGTGGCTCATTCTGTGACTGTTGGCAGAGGCCTCCGTTCCTTGCTGGCTCTTGGGCACCAGGTCCTCCCATATGGCAGCCTGACACCCAGCTTGGCAGCTGGCTCTGTCCAGAGTGAGCCAGCGGCCAACACAGAGCGAAGAGGAAGCCATGAAGGCTTTTTTTTTTTTTTTTTTTTTTTTTTGCGACAGGGTTTCCCTGTAGCCCCAGCTGGCCTGGAATTTGCTATGTAGGTCAGGCTGGCCTTGATTTTTTTTTTTTTTTTTTTTGGCCTTTTTGAGACAGGGTCTTACTATAGCCCCAGCTAAATCTGAAATTCGCTGGCCTCAATCTCACAGAGATCCACCTGCCTCTGCATCCTGAGGGCTGGGTTTAAAGGTATGCACCACCGCGTGTACAGGGTCTCACTTTGTATCTCTGGTTGACCTGAAACTCAGATCCGCCTTCCTTTGTACCTCTTGTTGACCACCACATGCTGTCGCTTTGTTACCTCCCTAGGTGCATTTCTTCTGCTCCAGGTAAGGGGCAACCTTGCAAGGATGGGCAGGCCACACAGCCTCACAGCCTTGTAGGGCAGTCAGTAGTGTGTGAGAGAGTGTTAGTTCTTCTTGCCCAATTTCCTGTCTTGCACATCAGCAGCACAGGCTGCCAGGTTGTTGGAAGGCTCCCAGGCTGATCTTTCCGGTGGAGTACAGGTTGTGCTCAGGGCTCTTTAAACAGCGCTGTCCATCCCTGGTGGCTCCTTCTTCCTGCTTTGGGGAAGTAGATTTGTGTTAAATGTTTGCTGTGTTCTAGTGCACGCACGTGCGCGTGGGCATGCGTGCATGTGTGTTCTTTGAAGTACAGTGGGTGGTGTGGAAAGCTAGCCCTTGAATTCCCCTTCAAGGCTGTTAGGAAGACCCAGATGGGAACTGAGGGACAGGCCCCTCCCCTGGGGAAGGCCGGCGTTGGAAGATGAGTGAGAGCCTCTGTGCACAGCTGCAGCTCCACAGCCTCCCCTTCCAGAGCCAGGGAACACTGTCCTCACTGGCGGCCTCTGCCCTGCCAGGTGTTTTCAGCTGCTCCTTGACTGTCCTGTGACTGGCTGAAGTCCATGTCCATGACCTCCCAGGCAGGGCTGGAACAGGTCTGTTCCCACTGGAAAAATCTTATCTTGGGGGTGATGGTGCTTGGGCACACAGTGTGCTTTATGAAGTGGCCTTGCTTGGGCTGCTCCCCTCCTGTCCCTCTTTCCTCCTTGTCCACTCAAGTGGTGTCCTCGGGATGGGGCTGGGCCAGGAGAGTCCCCTCTGTGGCTTGGGTTATACTTTGCTGTGTAGCTGAGACTAACCTTTACTTCCTGTCCCCTGCTTGTGCTCTGGAGTGATGTGATTGCTGCCTGACAAGGGCCAGTCTTCCTCTCCCACACCTCATGTCCTAGAACCAGGAAAAAACAGCCCACACATTTTCCCATGAGTGTCGTCCCATCGAGTTACGGTGTGGTGGTTCCTTTACTTACCCATTCATCCATCCGTTCACTCTCAGACCTTTGTGGCACAAACACCCTGAGGCATGGGCAGACGTAGGCTCTAGGAGCTGCTCTTGGCCAAGTGGGCTAGCAGGCTGCAGGCTTGGCTAAGCATTGCTGTTCACATCACTCCTAAGGGGCAGACAGGCATCATACTTCAGGGTGGCGTGGAGGGCGGTGAATGGAGGTTCTAGGTTAGCAGATACAGGGACCTCTGTCGGCCATGGTGTGTGTGTGTGTGTGTGTGTGTGTGTGAGAGAGAGAGAGAGAGAGAGAGAGAGAGAGAGAGAGAGAGAGAGAGGAGAGAATGCATGTGCGTGCATGCATGTGTATGTGAGTGTGTGTGGGCCTATGAGTCCATGCATAGGCTGGGTGTGGTAGCGCACGCCTTTAATCCCAGCACTCAGGAGGCAGAGGCAGGCAGATCTCTGTGAGTTCAAGGCCAGCCTGGTCTGCATAGTTCCAGGCCAGCTGGTGCTACAGGGAGACACTGTCCCAAAAGAAAAAAAAAAGAGTCTGTGCGTGTGTGCCCTGTGGGAGTTGGCTCTTTCCACTGGGCTCCAGGGATGGAGCTCAGTTGTCAGGCTTGCTGGCAAGGCCTTCTGCCCAGTGAGCCATCTCACCGGCCCTGCTGCACTGGGAATGGAACCCAGGGCCTTGTGTTTGGAAGCTCAGTCCTTTGCCACGTGGCCACTGTTTTGATTTCGTGGTTGGGTTTACTTGTGGCCAAGATTGATCATAAATTTGATACTTAAGTCGTTTTCTTTCAGCTGGCTCCTGGCTCTCACTGTCAGGTTCCTTTTGTTGGTGGTGTTGGGTGTACTCTCTTGGAGCTGATAGAAGGTACCTTGTATCAGGGTCCCATGGGGAGGAAGCAAGCTCAGACTCTCACAGTGGGCAAATGGGCAGCGTCGATGCTCCCTCTTAAACTACTATTCTTGTATGTGTGATATTGGGAATAGAGCCCAGAGCCTTGTGCCTGCCCCCAGCTACAGCCCCAGCTCTAGGTTATCTTTTTAGTTTGTTTCTTATGGGATAGGGTCTTAGGTAGCCCAGGCTGGCCTCAAAGCCCAGTCCTTTGCCTCTCACATGCTGGGATGACAGCTATGTGCCACCATGCCTGGGTTTAGGTCATCTTCAATTGAAATGCTGTCTGCAGCACTTGACAGGACAGTAGGTAATCTTCCCGTATACAGCAGCAGAGCGACCTGGAGCTCGTTCACAGTGCTGAAGCACCTCTTCTGTTGGAATACCAGTGTCCGTCCTCACTAGCTCCTCGTTCCCCTGGCCGCAGACAGGACTCACTTAGGCTGAGAAAGCAGTGGTTTAAGCTCTTCAGTAGCGGAAAGTTGGGCAACACTGGATATAGGGTTGGCTTGGCCTGTGCTCTGCTCCAACTCTGTAGCCTTACATTTTTTTCTGTGGCCAGGTGTAGTGGCATATGCTTGTAATTCCAGCACTTGGGAGGTGGAGATGGGAGGATCCGTTTAGGGCCAGCCTTCGCTTACATAGTTTGACACCAGCTTGAACCGTCTGAGACCCTGTCTCAAAAAACAAAAAGCAACAACAAAAATTCTTAGTGCTGGGGAAGAGGAAGGCCTGGGGCGGGGGCAGGGGCTGAAGTCCCTGTGAGAAGAGGCTGCAGTAGGTCTGAGCCGGGGTCCCCTGGGCCTGAAGAGACCTCGGGAGCTTGAGGGACTCAGTAGACGCAGCAGCCTGGGCTCCGCCAGCCACTGCTCATCAGGCAGTGCCCCAAACCTGTGTGACTTGGTCTGCATTGTGGAGTCCACACCAGTGACTGGGATCCCAGTGCCCAAGCCTGTGAGGTATCATGGGGCCTCTGGTGGGGAGTATGACAGCCATGGGGTCATGTGACCTGTGACACATCAGACAAGGAGGCTTCATGCTGAGCAGTGTGTCAGGATAGATGTTAGGGTTCCACCTAGGCCAGAATTTAGGGTGTGTCCTTGCAGGGAGCCTTGGTAAAGATGGTTCTGCAGGCCTGGCACCAGGGTGGACTGTGCTCAGGGCTTGGCTTGCTGGGAGGCCACTTGTTCATTCATCAGCCATGAGCTCTCCAATAGACCAGACTGGTGAACAGGGCTGGAGACGAGGGCTTGGAACTCCCATGGGGGGACATGGCCAGGGCCTATGGCATCTGTGCAGAGCCCTGTGGCAAAGTGTGCCTCAGTGGTGGCAGCAGCAGCTGCATTGGAGTTGAGGTGTCCATGGCTGTTGTACAGGGCAGAAGAGCTGCAGAGGTGCTGGGGCGAGTGTCCTGGGCGGCCATTGAGGAGCTCTGGAGGTCCTAGGGCCTGGCTACCCCTGAAACCTGTGGGGGAGCCTCCCCTCTGGCCTGTCTTGGCTGCTGGTGGCCCCAGGTGCTCTGGCTTGTGGCCTCCTGTCTGCACGCCATCTTCCTTCTGTGTGTGTCTCTGTGGCCACCTTCCTGTTTGTCATACGACAGCAGTCTCATTATCTGTAGAGACCCTGTTTAGCAAGGTGATTGATGGGTCAGGACTCATCTGTCACCAGGGATACATCTCTTCAGAGCACAGGGAGGAGGCTGGGAGCAGGTGACCAGGTGAGGAGGTACACACCTGGAGTCCCAGCACTTAGGAGGCTGAGGCAGGAGGATTGCCAAGAGTTCAGTTCCAGCCTGGGCTATAGCAAGAGTCTGTTTCAAAAAGACAAAAGAAGTGGAGCGGATGGCCTATCAGGAAGGGACAGCAGGAGGATGGTCAGGGTGTCAGTCATACCCGGACTGGCACTCAGCGGTCCTTAATACCTTGTTCTGATCCCCTCCTCCATCCTTCTTCCTTGCCTGGTGCTACCCTGTCACAGTGCTGAGAACAGTGTCCCATCACAAGACATTGTCTTTTGTGGATGGGGCAGGAAGGGAGCGGGCAGCCCAGGTGCAAGGTACCATCTGACTGGCAGCCTTGCCCTGCAGGTTCCTGGGCGGTGGGGGTGAGAGCTGCAGCCTCATTGCAGAAGGCCTCAGTACAGCTCTGCAGCTGTTTGATGACTTCAAGAAGATGCGCGAGCAGATGTGAGTGCCTCCTGCTGGGCCTGTGACCCCTTCTCACCCTGGACTAGGAGCCAGGAAGGGGTCCCTGTTGGGTCAGGGCAGGCCAGTGCCTTCTGATCAGGTAGGTGCCTGCACAGGGCCTCCCTCTGTGGCAGGTGACTTTGGGTTGCCTTAAGCCCCCAGGAGCCTTGGTGGTGTCAGCTGTAAGGGATTTTTGCCCGCGTGGGAAGGTGACCCGAGTCTGCTGATGGACCAGGTGCCTGTGGTGCCTGCTTCATGGCCTGTCTTTGTCGCCAGCAGTGGCCAGACACACCGAGTCTGTCTGCTTATCTGCAACTCACCTCCATACCTGCTGCCTGCTGTGGAGAGCACCACGTACTCAGGATGCACAACAGAGAGCTTGGTGCAGAAGATAGGGGAGGTGAGGGGCTGAGTGCCTGCACCCCTAGGTGTGGGGGAGAATGGTGGGGAGTCTGGGGTCTGGAAACCTCAACCACAGAATAGTTGAGAACCCTCTGCCTACCTGTGCCTACTTAGGCTTTTTAAAACCATACCCAGAATCCAGATTTTTTCTGTGTGTGTCTTTTTGAAATGGGCTTCCTGTAGCCCAGCTGTCTTGGAACTCACTGTGTAGACCAGGCTGGCCTTGAACTCACAGAGATCCACCTGCCTCTGCCTCCCGAGTGCTGGGACTACAGGCATGCACCACCGCGCCTGGCCAGATTTTTTTAAAAATATATTTTATTAGCTTTTATTTTATGCGTATGAGTGTATTGCCTGCATGTATGTGAGTGCACCTGTGTTGTGCAGTGCCACGGAGGTCAGAAGAGGGCTTCAGATTCCCCTGGAACTGGAGTTAAGGACGGTCTGTAGCCACCATGTGGGTGCTGGGAATCAAACCCGGGTCTTCTGCAAGAGCAGTCAGTGCTCTTAACCTCTGGGCCATCTCTCCAGCCCACAGAATCTAGATTTTTACCATCCACTGCCCCACAGTCTGCTGAAGTTGTGGTCTTAGGGCCCAGGCTACCCCAGCACACAGCAGTGAGGGGAGGGGCTGTCCCAGCACCTCACTGAGCCCTCATCCCTCTAGCGTGGGATCCACTTCTCCATCGTGTCTCCGCGGAAGCTGCCGGCCCTTCGGCTGCTGTTTGAAAAGGCAGCCCCCCCTGCCCTGCTCGAGCCGCTGCAGCCACCGGCTGATGTGAGCCAGGACCCAAGGCACATGGTGCTAGTGCGTGGGCTGGTGCTGCCCGGTGAGGCCTGGGTGCAATGGGCAGGGGGGGCGTTTTCTGGCACCCTCTGAGTGGATTTTGAATCTTTGCCTCTCTCACCTCCAACCCTTTCTCTTGGACCTCTGTGGTTCTTCCTTCCTGCATTCAGTCGGGGGCAGCTCAGCCGCAGGCCCCATGCAGCCCAAGCAGCCAGTTCCTCTACCTCCTGCTGTGGCCTCGGCTACCACACTCTCAGCAGCCCCCCAGCAGGCTCTGCCCCCCGTCCCGCCACAGTATCAGGTATAGATGTTGTCCAGAAGGACCAGCTCCTGGGGTCTGGCAGAGTTGTGGCCTCACAGGGAGGACCTAAGGGAGCCTTGGGGCTGAGGGCCGAAAAACCTCCGGCAGGGAATGGCTTCTCTGGTGGAGTTGGGAGCTCCTGAATCATTGCCTCATGCGACTGTGGGTACACAGTTCTGGGGATTCATGATCCTCTGCTTGTGATAGGTCCCTGGGAACCTGAGTGCTGCTCAGGTGGCTGCCCAGAATGCTGTGGAGGCTGCCAAGAACCAGAAGGCTGGACTGGGCCCACGCTGTGAGTCCCAGGGGAGTGGTGGGTAACTTCGTGGGTTTTCTGACCCCCTTTTCCCCACTCACCTGTGTCTCTCCCACAGTCTCACCCATCAACCCTCTCCAGCAAGCTGCTTCAGGAGTAGGCCCCCCTTTCAGCCAGGCCCCAGCGCCCCCACTGGCCCCTGGGCCTCCTGGAGCCCCCAAGCCACCTCCTGCTTCCCAGCCTAGCCTAGTCTCTACTGTGGCCCCGGGCCCAGGCCTGGCACCACCTTCACAGCCTGGGGCTCCATCCTTGGTAGGTGACCTCACACTGTTGGACCCTCCTCCCCCATGCAGGGTTATGGTGCACTTCACAGTTCTGAAGCAGGACTGAGGGCTGAGCCCAGACATTCCTGTAGCTGGGGCATCCTTATTCTTCATGGTGGGTGTGGATGGCTCCTGATGTGGCCAGCTGGGGGAGGTGGAGGAAGGGATCTTTGCCCTGCCCTCCTTCCCTGTGGTCTTGTCACTCTGAGGACAACCCCTCCCCAAGATGGTGTGTCATTGCCCTACCCCCATTGTCCTTCCTCCTCCTCGGGCAGGCCAGCACCGTAGCCCCAGGTGGGGTAAGTGGCCCTTCACCAGCCCAACTCGGGGCTTCTGCACTTGGTGGGCAGCAGTCGGTGTCCAACAAGCTCCTGGCCTGGAGTGGGGTCCTCGAGTGGCAGGAGGTGAGTGGGTTTGAGGTTTTATAAGGTGTGGGTCTTAAGAGTTGGAGTTGAGTCTCGAGGAATGCTGGGATTTGTGGCCTAGCATCAGATTAGCAGGTCTTTGAAGATTATATTGCAATAAAAACCCAGAAGAGGGCTGGGTTAAAGCTCAGTGATTGAGCACTTCCCTAGCACACACAAGGCTCTGGGTTCCATCCCCAGTACCACACACATGCACACAAAAAACTAGCAGAGCCAAGGATTTGGAGTCCTGACAGGGTCCCAGGGATTGTGGCCTTTGGGGGATGGTAGATTGTAGGATTAAGGAGGCCCCCAATATCGGTGGGGTTTGGATACTAGAGTGGGGTTGGTGGGGGAGATGGAGCGTGTGAGGATTTTAGTGGGGGATGTGCATGGCTTTGGGGCTGCAGGGGTGAAGCAGGTGGAGCAGGCAACCCTCACCAACTCTTCTTACAGAAACCCAAGCCTGCCTCTGTGGATGCCAACACCAAGCTGACACGGTCCTTGCCCTGCCAAGTCTATGTGAACCACGGAGAAAACCTGTATGTGGTTGTCGGGTGTGCTTGTCGGTGGGGAGACAGACTGGGCCCCCTCACGCACTCCTGATGCACCTCTCCTGGCCTTGTCCCTCAGGAAGACGGAGCAGTGGCCCCAGAAGCTGATTATGCAGCTCATCCCACAGCAACTGCTGGTGAGACTCACTGCCACTTGACCCTCCTGATCCCTTGTCCCTTGCTACCCATGTCCCCATGTGACACCCGTGTGTGTGTGTGTGTGTGTGTGTGTGTGTGTGTGTGTGTGAGTGACACCATATGTCTTCCCAGACAACCCTGGGCCCGCTGTTCCGTAACTCGAGGATGGTCCAGTTCCACTTCACCAACAAGGACCTGGAGTCCCTCAAAGGGCTCTATCGCATCATGGGCAATGGCTTCGTGAGTGGCGGGCACTGGGCGGGCTCTGGCTTCTGCTGACCTGGGGACTCCTGGGCGCCTGAGCCCCAGGACCCGTTCTTCCCTTTCATCAAGGTGCTGGGGCTGGAGCTGGAGGCTGGCTCACCCTGGCGTTCTGCCACTTATGCCCCACGCTCTGCTGCTCTTTTAGTTGCTTTGAGATTGTCTTGCTGTGTGGGTCAAGCTGGCCTGCACCTGAAGGCCCTTCTGCTTTGGCCCGAGGCTGGATCCAGGCACATGCTGAGCTGCCTGGCCCCTTATGGTACCTGTTCTTACCAGGACTCAACCATGCTGGGTTCAGCCTACCCTCAAGACCCATCTAACTTCTTCCACATCACTTTACCCTTCCCAGTGCCAGTGGGGACCTTGGGTTTGGGAGTACACGGGTGCCTCTGCAAGAGAACAGGCCCATGACTCTGTCCTTGGCCTCTCGGAACTCCCTTGGAAGTTCTCCCTAGGAAGGCAGCCAGTCCTCTGGTCCCCTTGGACACTTCACTCATTGCTGCTCTTGGCTGCACCTGTTCTTTCCTGAGGGTCTGTGGTTCGAGGGTGAGCACTTTGGTGCTGCAGCACCTGGTTGTTAGGCTGTGGGCAGGAATCTTGCTCGCCTGGGCTGCTGAGTGGCGGCTCAGCTGGCCCTGCCTGGCTATGGCCCACCCTCTTGTTGGGCATTCTTGTGATGCTGCCACGTTCTCAACGTTGCAGGAACTGACGTTGACATGTAACAGGATCTAGAGGGGAGCTGGGTGAAATCTGGGCCCAGGCCTCTTATAGACACAAGATGGCCCCCACAGCTTCTGTAGGCTGGGGAGGAGGCAGCAGCTCTGTGGTTCCTTTAGGAAATGGGGATCTGTTCCAGATGCAGGCCAGGCCTCCTGGCTGGGCCACAGCTGGGCCACCAGGCCAAGCCTCATTGTGCAAGAGGGGGCACTCGGCAGCACACTGGGCCTGAGTGGTGCTGCCCTGTGCTGGGCTGTGAACAGGTGAGGGCTGTGTAGTGATGGGTACCACCTGTCAGGCTGAGGGAACTTGAGCCCTGAGAACTAGACCCAAGTAGCCAAAAGCCAGAGTGCTCAAGCGTTCTGTGGATGACCACCTCCTGAAAGGGCTGTCTGGCTCCGACAGCCTCAGCAGAACTCCCCGTGTAGTGCAGGCCTGAGGTCTCAGCCACCTGTAGGGTCCACCCTGCAGACACAGTGGCAGGGAGTGTGGCTATCTCTGAAGGTCTCCTGAGTTTGCCTGCCTGCTGAGTCCTACCTAGCATCCTTTGGGCAGGCAGCCTAATACTGGGTGGAGATGAGACCTTGGAGTTGCTTTGACAGGCTCACCGTGGTCAGGCTCCCTCTTCATGTCTCTCCTGTCCCTCATTTCTCCCTCTCCACTCGTCCCTTGTCCCCCCCAATTCCCATCCCTCCCCTCCCCCGTCTTTCCCTCTCTCTGCACTTGGGAGTGCCACCTTCTTGCTGTGCTGGCCCCCAGTCCGCACCTCCTGCTTTCTGTCATGGGGCAGCAGCAGAGCAGACTTGCTCTGTTCCACTTAGTCCAGATTGCTCGAGGGATGGCCTAGAATGTTCTAGAACGAAGTGTTGTGTCCTGTCCTCGGCACACTGGTTCTGAAGAGCCCCTGTCTGCAGGCGGGCTGCGTGCACTTCCCACACACCGCCCCGTGTGAGGTGCGTGTGCTTATGCTCCTGTACTCGTCCAAGAAGAAGATCTTCATGGGCCTCATTCCCTACGACCAGAGTGGCTTTGTGAACGGCATTCGTCAGGTCATCACCAACCACAAGCAGGTGCAGCAGCAGAAGCTGGAGCAGCAGCGAGGGGTGAGCGCAGCAGGGGGAGGGGGGTGCAGCAGCAAGCGGGGCATCCTCTGGAGCCCCCCAGGTCACCCCTGGTGGGTACTTCCTGTCTCTAGTACCATTTTGTTCTCAAAACAGCCCTTGTGGCTGGGTGGGTGACTCACCCCTTTAATCCCAGCACTTTTGAGCTGAGGCAGGTGGATCTCCTTGATCTAGGTCAGCCTGGTCTACATGAGTTCCAGACCAACTGGGGCTACAGAGAGACCTTGTCTTAAAAAACCGAAATAAATTCCTGAGCACCATGTGCAGAGTCCCCAACACAAGACCGGCCACCTTTCAGCCGGGGAGGGTGTGATTAGTTGTAGTGGGTGTGAAATGTTCCTGGCCCCCTGCGCTCCAGGTCTTCCTCTCCTCACTGACTGTCCTCTCTGTCCCCATGCAGATGGGACAGCAGGCACCTCCAGGCCTGGGCCCCATTTTGGAGGACCAAGCGAGGCCTCCGCAGAATCTAGTGAGGACCGGGCTGGGGTCGGGTGGGGTCAGTGATGCCTGCGGCTCCCGCCATCCTCTCTCACCCGTTCTCCCCCCCAGCTCCAACTCCGAGCACCACAGCCCCAGCCTCAGGGCACTGTGGGAGCCTCTGGGGCCACAGGGCAGCCTCAGCCCCAAGGTACCACCCAGGCCCCCACAGGAGCACCCCAGGGTCCTCCTGGAGCAGCCCCAGGCCCACCTCCCCCTGGACCCATCCTTCGGCCCCAGAACCCTGGGGCTAACCCCCAGCTTCGAAGCCTCCTCCTCAACCCACCACCGGTGAGACTTGGGGATGGGGCAGCAGGGACTATGGCTTCTCATCTGAGGAGGTGGGCTGGATTGGGCTCCCAAGCAGGTGTGCTAAGGAAGTCCTCCCTGGAGCACAGCTGTGGGTTCCAAGCAGCCTGCTGGGGCCTCAGCCACTCTCTATGTCCCTCAGCCCCAGACTGGAGTGCCCCCACCCCAGGCCTCTCTCCACCACCTGCAGCCTCCAGGGGCTCCTACGCTGCTGCCCCCGCCACATCAGAATCTGGGGCAGCCCCAGTTGGGGCCACCGCTCCTACACCCACCGCCAGCCCAGTCCTGGCCTGCCCAGCTTCCCCAACGGGCTCCACTGCCAGGTAAGGGAGCTCCAGGGGAGGGGAGGGGTCTGAACTGGGTTCCCTGCAGTGACTGCGCAAGGACCCCAAGACCAAAGGGCCTCCTGTAGCCCTTGGGGGCTAAGACGGTCATGGGCAAGCTCAGTGTAGGAGCATAGCCCCAGTGGGTGAGAAGTTCCCACAATCCTTACATCCTGGGGTGCTGGAAGATGTCTTAGTGACAATGAAGCATGTGGGGGGAAGGGGCTCCCAAAGGTTCATGGGAAAGTCTGCATCCAGGTGGGCTCAGGACCTCTGATAGCCCCTGGAACCTCCTAGAAACCTGAGTACCTGGGGTTCCCAGAACAGGGATGATCAGGCCCAGAGCCCTCCATGGTCCCAGGGACCACTGGGAGATGCAGTCCCTTCCCACTGCCCCCCAGGTCAGATGCTGCTGAGCGGGGGTCCCCGGGGCCCGGTTCCCCAGCCGGGCCTGCAGCCCAGCGTCATGGAGGACGACATCCTCATGGACCTCATCTGAACCCACCCCAATAAAGTTCCTTTGAACACATGCCCGGCTCCCATCACTGACGTCCCCCAGGACTGGGCAGGAGAGGGAGACGGCTCTGTCCTGGCTCTCACCTTGCAGACTCCCCAGGGCCCTGGCTGGGTGATACCGGGCCATGGCGAGTCTGCGGCAGCCTGTGACCTGGTCCTAGGAGACGCTGAGACAGGTGGGGCAGGTAGCATGGAGGTCACATGCACTCTGTGGGTTGCAGAGCCAGGAACTCAATCCGACCAGCCAGGGTTCTGGAGCCTGGAAAGAAACAGCAGTCTGGGGCCATTTAGTGGCTCAGGGGGACCCAGGCACAGAGAGCCAAAGCCACAGAGAGGGCCACACAGGGCCAGGAGGTGGATGCTTCTAGAACGTGAGCATTAAATAGCAGAGCTGACGCTGACCAGGAGCCAGAACTCGGGGGGTGGGGGTGGGATCTCAGATACCAGACTTTGAGGTTTGTTGTGGGGGTACAGGACCACAGAGGCTGCCAGTGGGGCAGGCCTGGGCCAGCCTGGTATCTGAAAGGCCCCTCTGGGCTCTAGAGTGCCGAGGAGCATGGTAGGCTGGGAAGCGAGGCCATGGGTGGGACACCCAGGTGACACATTGGCTCAGGATGTCCCCAGGGGACTTGGAGCCATAGGAACAGAGGCACCAGGTTCCAGTTGGAGGTGTCCATGATGTGGGTAGCCCCTGCTCTTTGGGGTGTCCTGGAGGCTTATGGGCAGGTGGTCTCTCCTGGAGATGAGCAAGTTGTCAGTCACACAGACTCATGTTGTTCTGAGCGTGGTCCACTCTCGGACCACCACTGGCCTGGTTTGGGAAGCTGGTTAATGCATACGGTCACCACTTACCTGAGGAGAGAGGCTGCAGTCTGGTGGCCTCTGGGCCACTGCGGAGGAATTTTGTTTGGTCTCCCATGTGTTAGCATGTGGCACTTTTCCCACCAGTTAGTTGTAAAACTCAGTAAAGTTTTCCTACACACACACACACACACAGTCTGTAGTCTTGGCAGCTCTTGACATGTTGGACGACCTGACTACCTTGGGCCCAGCCTCCTGCTTGGCAGTAGTGGCTGGGGCTGCCCGGTCAGTGGGGCTCGTGCTCTCTGGTTCGCCACCGTCCCCACCACTCCCTCTTGCCCCCCCCCCCCCCCCCCCCGGGGCCCGCGACCCGCCCCCGCTCCCGGGCCTGCCACGGGGGGGGTTTGGTGGGGACTTACCGGGCTGGCACTGTGGTGGTTTTGTGGTAGCATTCAGAGAACAGTGAAATCTTTCTTGTACCCATGTCTCCTTCAAAAGCGGCCAAACGAAAGAGACAAGCAGAGGGCCGTGTGTTTCGAGAAAAGTGGGAGCGAGACTATTTCTTTGTGGAGGTGAAGAGCGTGCCTACGTGCTTAATATGCAAAAAGAACGTGTCAGTGTTGAAAGAGTACAACCTGAAACGCCACTACCAGTCCCAGCACAGTAAGAGCTACAACCAGTACACGGAGCAGCGCCGGGATGCGCTCCTGGAGGAGCTGAAGAAGGGCCTCAAGGCCAGCAAGGCCCTGCAGAGCCTCGAGTAGGAGCCAAGGGGTGGAGGATGATGGCGAGAGTCCTGATCTTGCCTCACAGCACAGCGTGCATCTTGAGCAGGCCGGCGTCTGTGAGGCCATCCTCTGGGTCTGATGGGCATTTGAATCGCGTCTGTGAGGCCGTCCTCCGAGTCTGATGGGCGTTTGAATCGCGTTTGTGAGGCCGTCCTCCGTCTGTGAGGCCGTCCTCCGAGTCTGATGGGAGTTTGAATCGCGTCTCTGAGGCTGTCCTCTGAGTCTAATGGGCGTTTGAATCGCGTCTGTGAGGCCGTCCTCGGAGTCTGATGGGTGTTTGAATCGTGTCTGTGAGGCCATCCTCCGAGTCTGATGGGCATTTGAATCGCAGGAGTCGGAGGCCTCACGGGTCCAGTTGCCTGAGTTGAATCAGTTGCGGCCCTTCCATGGCTGCGCAGAAACTCGGAACACGAGGTTAGCTTTATTTGTGGTGACCAAGGAAGCCTGCAAGGTGGTGCCAGGTCGGCTGGACCCTGGCAAGTGGCTTGCTTTTGTGTATGCACACCTCAGAATTCATAAGCACAACTACAGTCCGTCGTGGCGGCAATCTGACGATCCGCCATGGGGCTGTCCCCATACCTCGATCCGAAGTGGCAGTGTTTGGAGAGGACAAGGGTCAGATCCCAGCCTCAGTCACCAGGAATCTGATAGCTCTGACACCCCGACGACTTGACACTGGCTTTCCTGAGCTGGAGCCTAGGGAGCTGATGGTGGTGGACCTAGGGAGCCGCTTGGTTCGTTTCAGACCTGCAGAGCCACGTCCCGGTTTCCTGGAGGTCAGACTCTACCCTTCTGAACACTGAATCCATCTTTGTAGGGAAGTTCGCAAACAGCTCCTGAATGTATGATGGGTCCTGGCACCTGAGCCGCAGGTGAGGGAGAACAGACTGCTTTTCTTTGCTTCCCAGAAATGAGAGGCAGCCAGGACCGGTCACCTACACTGTGAGACCCAAGACCAAGTCCCCCGAGGTCCCCACACCAACTTGAACCTGAACGGACACTGGCCAGTTTGCCGTTGCTGGTGGTGTGAACACAGAGCCCAGCCTGAGTTGTGGTGCCCCAAGATGCTGGCGAGGTCTTGAGACCACTGTAGGAGGGTCCCGGGGGCTGGGGCTGCCCACTTGTCAGCAGTCACTTTTCCGTTACACCCCTGAATCAGAAGCTCCTTTAAAGATTCAAGAGTCGGATTCTCGTGCACATGTCCCCCCACCTGGCACTGACATCTGGATTAGAAGAGCAGATGCCGACCTCCTGGCCTCCAAGAAAGGAGCAAGAGAATTATGAGAAAAATTTTAATACTTCTATTTTTCAATTTGTATTTTTTCAATTTTGAATTTAAAGCATACGCTCCAGTATCATGTTTGTGTTCTGTTCCGTGCGTTCACCTTAGCTCAGTAAAGATCCAATTTGATTATGCCTCTGGCCATGGGCTTTCTTCTACCTGACTAGTCCACCCATTTGTGACCCGCCTGGCCCCTGTAGGCATATGTGCCTCTGCCCCAGGCCCTAGGGGCCGTGAGTCCTGTCCCACGAGGCCCCTCTCCTGGGTGGTTCTCACAAAATGAAAAGCAGAGCAGGGGACCACAGTGGCAGCCGAAGATGGAGCTGGTGGTGTGGCCAGGTAGCAGATGTGGTGGGTGCTGCCAGTCCTCGCTGCAGGGACCGGGCAGGTACCACAGAATGCTGGGGACTGTGGCGAACCTGGAGAATGCTGACCCTGCCTGGAGGCCTTCAAAGCCCAGAGCACACTGCTGCTGCAAGGACCAAACAAAACCTACTGTGGGGCTCAGGAGGCCTCAGGCCATCATTTTGTGCCTCCACCTCTGTGAGAAGAGTCCACAAGCAGGACACACCCCGAGGGAGACCTGGGCATGAGGGATGGGCGGGGAGTGAGAGAAGCTGGCAGGTATCCTGAGAGGAGGATCTGGTGGTAGCCAAAAGGAGGTGTGGGCACAAGTTCCCGCAGAGACTCCAGAACAAAGGTTGGTTTTGGTGCACGCCTCTGATCCCAGCTACCCAGGAGGCTAAGGTAGGAGGGTGGGAAGCTTGGGGCCTGCCCTGCCCTGGCTACTGAGTGAGTTCAAGGCCAGTCTGGACCTAGAGTGATGGAGGGTTGGGAGTGAGAGCGGGCAGGAGAGTGCCTGCCTCGCAGGTGTGCCGCCCCAGGATCCATCCACAGCACTGCCACCCAGCCTTCCCCAAAGTGTCCAGACTGGTGCCCTGTTAAAACACAAGGACTGTCCTAACCTGACCACACTGCACTCAGGTGAGACAGCGCCCACCCAGCGAGGGCATCCCTGTGGTGCTGAACTCATAAAGCAGTGAGCAGAAATGGGGTATCCGTCCCTAAGGACTGTCGTAAGGAATAAACTTTGTGGGCCAGCACACGGTCTTCCACACAGAGCTGGGAACTGTGGTCACTGAACAAAACGCACTCTTAAAGCACAGTATGACCAAATTGTCCACAATGCCAGCGGAGCAGGCCAGGGAGGAGTGGAGCATAGAAAAGTCAGCAAGAACAGCCAGGTGGGACACTGGTGGGTATAGGCCCAGCACTTAGGAAGGGTAGGAGCAACGCAAATTATGGACCAGCCCAGACGGATACATTGTAAGACCTTGTCTCAAAACATGGGCTGGAGAGCTAGCTTTGAGGCTAAGAGCACTCAACTGGCTGCTCTTGTGGGGGATCTGGGTTTGGTTCCTAGCACCCACATGGAGACTAACAACTGTCGGTAACTCTAGTTTCCAGGGGATCCAATGCCCTTTTCTGACCTCTGCAGGCATTGCACAAGATGGCTGCACCTTCCTACACGCAGTGTATACTCATACACACAAAAACCAAAAAGGCTGGGACTGTAGTGGGTAAGTTAGAGTACTCACCCAGCATGAAATGCCAACATTGACCACTGCAACCTGTCATGGGTGGGTGGGTTCTTCAAAAATGGCCACTCCCCACACCTGAAAAAGACACCGAAGGCAGCAATAGGGAACATCTTCAAGATATGCAAGGTTCCTAAAACATGCTTTCTTGGCCTAAAGTACTGAGGTGCACACATCCAAGTTTCAGAAAGAAAGTGCCAAGATGTGTGGGACAGAAAGTAAGTCTCAGGCGTGACAGCTCCTTCCAGAGTCACAGCACTGGGGAGGCTGAGCCAGGAGGACTGAGTTCCAGGTTCCCCTGGGCTGTCTCAAAAGTGAAAGGACACCCTGGGCTGGGTGTGGTGGCACACGCCTTTAGTCCCAGAACTTGGTAGGTAGAGGCAGGTGGATCTCTGTAAGTTCCAGACCAGTCTGGTCTACATAGTGAGTTTTGGCTACAGGGAGACCCTGTCTCAAAGAAACTTAAAGAAAAAAAAAAAGTGGCTTATACCTTAATGCCTTTAATCTCAGCATTCCAGCACTTGGGAGGCAGAGGCAGGTGGATCTCTGTGAGATTGAGGCCAGCCTGGTCTACATAGTTAGTTCCAGGCCAGCCAGGGCTATGTAGTGAGTTTCAGGTCAGCCAGGGCCATGTAGTGAGTTCCAGGCCAGCCAGGGCTATGTAGTGAGTTTCAGGTCAGCCAGGGCCATGTAGTGAGCCACTGTGTTAGTAGAAGAAAAAGGGAGTTTGTTCACTTTGTTCCTCCTGCCCCAGACACTCAGAAAATCAGGTCCCAGTCTGGGGATGTGGCTGAGTGGTAGAGCCCCTGCCTAGGATCTCCCAGTGAGGGGCTGGGGGTGGTTCAGTGGTGGAGCACTTGAACTGCATGTACAAGGTCTTAGGTTCTCTATCCACAGTGCCCTCCAAGATGAGGGAGGAATGGTAAGATCGCCATCCTTACGGATTGTGGGCTGACCTGAAAATTTCAGTAAGTTTAGGTCCTGAGCTCATCTGAGAAATATTCCTTTTCTAAGAATTGTTTTTTTCTGAGAAGGGGGGGTCTCCCTGTATCCTCATCTGGCCTAGAACTCGCTATGTAGACGAGGCTAGGCTTGATCTCATGGAGATCCACCTGCCTTGGCCTCCTGAGTGCTGGGATCAAAGGTATGCACCACCATACCCAGCTCCAAGGATTTAAAAGAAAATCTGTGTGTGTGTGTGTGTGTGTGTGTGTGTGTGTGTGTATGTGTGCATGTGAATGCAGTTCCCTCAGAGACCAGAAGGGAGTGTCGGAGCCCCTGGAGCTGGAATTACAGGCAGTTGTGAGCAGCCATGTGGGTGTTGGGAACCAAACTTGGGTCCTCTGCCTAAATAGCAAGTGCTCTTAATTGCTAAGCCATCTCTCCAGCCCCCCGTTTAAGGGTTCTGATTAGTAACAGGTGACTGGTTAGAAGACACACTGAGGACTTGGACCACCAATGTGAATGGAGAGATGTAGGAAATGTGGCAAGATGGAGGCTGGGCCTCCTCACTAGGGCTCAGATGCGGGTGAGTGACATGACATGTGGAGGTGAGAGGACAACTTTTGACAGTTTGTGCCGTCTGGGGGTTCCAAAGATTGAAGTCAGGTTGTCAGGCTTGGGCAGCAAGGGCTTTTACCCACTGAGCCATCTCACTGGTCCCCCTGCCTTTTAGATTTTGAGATGGTCTCACCATGTAGCCCAGGCTGTCCTCAGCCTTAGAGTGCTGGGACTATAAGTGCAAGTGTACTACCATGCCCACCAGGTGTCTACATGGGTAGTGAACATCTCAAATGAGGCAGCTTTTGGCTAGCTGTGGTGTACACCTGTGATCCCAGCACTCAAAACAGCTGAAGTAGGATGACCCAGGCTATGCAGCCTAGTTAAGGAGCGTGACCATTTAAAAAAAAATTTATGTGTATTCGTGTATTACCTGCATGTAGGTAAGTGCACCCGTGTTGTGCAATGACCATGGAGGATAGAAGAGGCTGTTGGATCCCCTGGAACTGGAGTTACGGGCAGTTGTTAGCTGCCATGTGGGTGCTGGGATTCGAACCGCGGTCTTCTGCAAGAACAGCCAGTGTTCTTAACCATTGAGCCATCTCTCCTAAAAACAGTAACAGCTGGGCATGGTGGCACTCTTTATTCCCAGCGCTTGGGGAGGCAGAGGCAGACGGAGCTCTGTGAGATTGTGGACAGGCTGGTCTACATAGCGAGTTCCAGGCCAGCCGGGGCTACAGCTGAAAAAACCAACAAAACAAAACAAAAAATAGCAACAGGGCCGGTGCGATGGGTCAGCAGGTAAAGGGACCTGCGGCTTGACAACCTGAGTTCCATTCTTGGGGCCAACATGGTGGAAGGTGAGAACTAACACTCTCCTCTGACATGCTCTGTGGTACACACACACACACACACACACACACACACACACACGCACGCACACAGAGGGAGGGTAACAATAAATGTAATTGAAAATTTAAAGGAGCAAAATTAAAAACCGACAGGCCCTGCCAGGATTTATTGTTGCTGTAGCGGTAGGTCTTCACGAGGTAGCAGAGGACCAGCTGGAACAGGTCCTGATCGTCGTCCCTCACCTCACCGCTTGAGTGTTGGGATTACCCCGTGTCTGACACCATGCCTCGATTCTCCAAACTTTTTTTGTGCATTTTATGTGTACTCGTATTTTGCCTGCATGTGTAAGTGCACCATGTCGTGTAATCCCTGCAGAGGTAAGAAGAGAGCGTCTGATCCCCTGGAACAGCTGCCATGTGGGTGCTGGGGCTCGAACCCAGTCTCCTAAAGAGCAGCCAGTGCTCTAACCGCTGAGCATCTCTCCAGCCCCTTGGTTCTCTTTTTAAAAGAGGTCAGGGAAAGCTTAAAGCCAGGGAAACAGCCAGGCGTGGCGATCCACACCTGCAGACCCAGCACTTGCAAAGTAGGCTGGGGGTTCGAAGACAGTCTGGGCTATATGAGACCCAGTCAGTTGGGTGGTTACCATGCCAACCACAACATTAAGCTCATCTGGTCTTTAGCCACTCTGAAGTCGGATACTGCCACCTTTGAGAAAGAGACTGAAGTAGGAAATAATGCAGGACCACTATTAAGTCCTTTCGGTTGAAAGCAGGAATCAAGGAACCGGGGAGAACAGCGTTGCAACTGCAGTGGGCAAGGGGCAGTGGGCGCGACTAGAACCGGAGGGGACCTCGCGGGGCCTGATGGGAGTTATAGTCCCTTCTCCACTCTGTCACGTCACCACGTCCCTGCACCCCTTGGTCTATTGGTTGGTTCCCGGTTCTGGCGTAGCCTCAACCCTGTGCACAACTCTCCCCACACCTTTGGTTTCTTCCAAGGCCCGCTCGCCCTGAACAGGTGCACCTGAACGCCGTCTCTCCCTGACCTTCTTGGTATGCTCCGGTCACACCCCTCGCGCCGGGCTCCCCTGCCACCTCGGCGTTGGTCCGCTCCGTCCCCCCACCCCGTGACGTCAGTCCGCCGTGCCGCCCCCGCTCCGTGACGTTGGTCTGCTCTGTCCCGTGTTGTGTTCCCCTCCCTCCATGATGTTGGTCTCTTCCGTCCCCCCCGCTCCGCGCGGTTGGTCCGCTCCATTGCCCCCCCCCCCCGCTCCGCGACGTTGGTCCGCGCCGTCTCCCCCGCTCGCCGCAGTGGTTCGGCCGCCGCGACCCCTGTGCCGTTCCCCCGCCGCGTTCCCGTTCCGCGTCCGAAGCCGCGCGCCCGCGCTGTCCCTCGGCGGAGCCCGCACCCGAGAGGCCAGCGGCCGCCTGCCCGCCATGGTCCGTCCGCGC